CACACACCGAGTCCCTTCCTCACAGACTCGGGGTGTCTCCAAGCTGAAGTCACACAGTGAGTCCCTGCTTCGCAGACTCGGGGTGTCCCCAAGCTGAATTCATACATTGTTAGTCCCTTTCTTGCAGACTCGGGGTGTCTCCAAGCTGAAGTCACACACTGCTAGTCCCTATCTTGCAGACTCGGGGCGTCTCCAAGTGGGAAGCCCTCATGGCGGTTGCCTTGTTGGACCTCCCACCCCTTCAAAACTGTGACTTGACTGAAAGGTTCCAAGAGCACATTCTTAAATGTGAGAGACTCAAGCCTTTTTAAAATGCCGCTTTTTCCAAGTTTGCAGCTTTGGGGGAGGAGAGGGTGTGATGAATGGCTGGGTTCTGATAGACTAGAGCCGGGGGGAGTGGGGGGAGGGGACCAGACAAACGAACACTCGCTCACACTGGTAAGCGGGGTGAGCGTGCAATATTGTATATGGCGGGAACCGGTGGGCAAGCTGCAGGCCGTGATAGAAATGCTGTTCAAGGCTTGCCCGTCTGTGCAGAGTGACAGCAGCGTAAGCCTTCTCTCTCCATCACTCACCCCCTCACCCTCGCTCACACTCGTGGGAGGTGCCGGGAGGTCATGTAAGGACACTCAGCCCTTCCCATTCCACCCATACATAGCATGGCACTTGTTTGAACAGTGCATGAGAATGGAATGGAGCGGGGGCGGGGGCGGGGGGATGGGCACCCACAACCCGCTCATCCTACTCCCCCCACCCCCCCCCAGCCCATCCACATCAGCTCTGGAGACCAGCCTCAGAGAAACGGACTCTTTCATCACAGCGTAAAGGTTGACATTAGCTGAGCTGCCCAGTGCGATTCTATTCCCTGTGTTCTTGGGAGGTGAGCGCATGAGGTCACCCTCGAGTGATGCGCTGCCCCTGCCGGCTTGGGGGGGGGGCAGGGGGGCGCTAAGGCTCAGAGAGGCGTGAATGGCCTGGGCTTACAGTGCCAGTAGAGGAGCTGAGGATCATGTCCAAGTTTCTTACTCCTGAGCCCAGACTTTTTTGCCTTTGCACTCAGCTTTCTTGGCCACTGGGCTCTGGCCTCCACACTCCCCCTGCTTTGTCCTCCTGCCAAATTCTCCCAGATTCCCACAGTGTTTGAGCTGACCGTCTTTGATGAGACTCGCCAGCTTTGGCAGCGAATTACTGTCATTTGTGAAACACGGAACATGCAGGCAGAGGTCGGTTTTTCCGCTCCTTGGTGTGTCTGCCACTTGTGAGGTACGCCGTCTGCAGACCAGAAGCAGGAGATGCCTCTGAAGAGAGCTGGTGGGAATGGGGGATGTTCTGGAGCAGAGATTTGCTGAAGGGCAGATCTGAGAAGGATGGGATTGTGCGCTTGTTAGAAATCAGGCAGATAACGAGGCACAGCCCCTCAGTGCATCGTTCCCTCCGTTTCCGGGCTCACCAAGAACCCTGCTGCTCTGAAGCTGTGAGCGTCCCACTTGGCTCCTCATTCTCTTGCACAGTGCAGGCTTACCGCTCCCTCTCTGCACCTGTTTCCTGTGGCAAAGTTGAAGCTTCCTTAGATCCTTGAAGGCAGACTTCAAAGACGCCACCACCTCCTTTGCCTTCCCGGTCACCCCAGAGGATCTCATTGGTGCCGGCTGCTCTTGTACGACACAGATTGACACGCCACATGGATTTCAAAACACTGTGTCAAAGGCCCTGCGGCCGCTGTTCATTCCGCCAGGACTGCCCATGCCCCTGTCCCCCGTCTCGTCCGCCCTCTGTGAGCTTGCTGCCCCCTGGTCTTGCCTCTCAGGATGGGACAGGGACAAGCGCGTTCACCTCCTCATCCAGTTTGGGGCAGAAGAAAGTTGTCTCGAGGATGAACCCGTTCCTGTAATTCCTTCTGCTTGCCGCCCTTAAACACACGTCTGGCTGTATTGCTCAAGGTTTTTATATTTTTCTCTTTAGTCATTTCTTAACCACTGGGTCTCCCCTATATCGGCACAATGCTTTGTTCATAACTCTACCAAAACAATTGTCAGTACGTTAGTGATGGGTGGGGGCCAAGGGGAAGAAGTCAGAGTGTGCAGTTTGTGAGGATAATTATCACCCCTGTTCAACACACAGCCCAACACGGGACTCAAATCCCAGGGCCCATGCTACCCGGCCCTGAGGTCAGCCCAGATGTGCACGCTCCCTGTTAAGGGGCAAGACCCGCAGATGGCCCAGATGTTGCTGCTCCTTTCCACAACACAGCAAACATCTTAGGAAGTCTGGAAAGTTGTCCTTGCATCTTGTTTCCGAAAGCCACAAACTGCGGCTCCCCAAAAGGAAAATAACAGGTTTTCTATGATATTCTTGAAAAAAAAAAAAAAAAAAGTGCCCAAGTCAGATCGCCTGGCCTCTTATGTGGTTATGTTCCTGCTCCAGCTACGGTAACCTGAGGGGCTGAATTCCCTGGGCTTCTGTGGGGAAGAGATGCTGATATTGTCCCCTGCACATCCTGCTGGGCCTGGCGCTCTGTGGCCATAGCCAAGGACAAGTGGGCTCATGTCTCTTGCTGCAATTTGGAAAGGCTACAGAGAAGTGACCTTGTGTCTCCCAGCGCAGCCTACTGCCAATCAAAGCCTTGCTGGCTCTCCCAGGATGCATTGACTTCTCAAGGGGTCCATGTGGCTGCCCCTACCCTCAGCATCAGGCTGTACCACTCCAACTTTGGTGACATGCTATCTGATGTCACCCACATAGTCTGTGAGCTGTTTCTCAGCACCGCCACCACCTGCTGTCGGGGAGGAAGGTTCTAGAGGCCACTTTAACTTCTGAAAGCAGCATCCCTTGATTGCCCAAGGCCCTGGGGATAGATGAAATCCCTCCGGTCCTGTCTCCTCCCAGTGTCAGGGTCACCCACATACAGGCACCTCTGCCCTTTCTTCCATCTGGTCTTGGTCAACTTTTGTTCACTCCCGAAAGAACTTCGTGCTTTCAAATAAACTACTGGGTGCCTAGGACCCCACCACACTCAGCCTGGGACGTTACGCTCCAAATGTCAGCACATGAGGGGCAGGAGATGGTATTCCTCCCCAACTCTATGTGGCCTGAGCCCAGATTTGGGTCAGTCCAGTTATACAGACTTATAAATATATAAATGAGGGGAGGAACCTCACTCAAAGTCCCACGAGTGTAGCAGGAATCTTAAAAGTTCTTATTAATAAAATCAAACCTGAGCCACATATTGGGGTGAAGCTGGAAGATCAGAGAGACAGAACAAGCCACAGCTACCTCATCTCGCCGGATCCTCAGCTGGTCTTGTTTCCTCAGACTGGAAGCCTCTGAGTCCTCATATCTGAATGACTCTCAGCTGAACTGCTGCTAGAAGCCTAAAAGCTTAACCAGCCAAATGCCTCTAGTTTCTGGTCCTCACACCTTATATATCTTTCTGTTTTTGCCATCACTCCCTGGGATTAAAGGCTCACTTCTTGGGATTAAAGGCGTGAGTCACCATGCCTGGCCGTTTCCAATGTGGCCTTGAACTCACAGAGATCCAGAGGGATTTCTACCTCTGGAATGCTAGGATTAAAGGTGTGAGTGCCCCCATTTTCTAGCCTTTGTATCTAGTTGCTATTCTGTCTCTGACCCCAGATAAGTTTATTAGGGTGCACAATACTTTGGGGAATACAATACCACCACATACAAGTTTCTCCCAAGTCACTTAACTTTTTATATTTCTACTCATCTCCTTTTGTTTGGAAATTTGTTTGCTACTGATATAAATTGTTCATAAGTAAGTATTTGAAGAAAATGTCTTTTTAATTTCCATACAGAAATAACTTATAGAGTATAAAGTCATTTTTCCAGAAGAAGATACAGAGGTATAATCTGTGATTTGGCTAGTAGAGTTAATCCCATAAAGAGAAATCTGGATGTCTCTACACACAGCGTCATCCACATGTATGGTGACATACAGTTAGGGGCCTAGTCATCGATTTTAATGAGACAGATGTGGAATGGAGCAGACATGAAGAAAGAATATGAGTGCTTTGTGCTTCCAAGGCTAAGTGTAGCATTGTGAAGCTTTTAGTTGAGCCGTGTGTTTGTGTATGTCTCTGTGTGCACATGTGTGTGTTCACACACACACATGCTCATTTATGTGTGCCCCATAGGTTCTGGGGCTTTGTGTCTAAAGCATGTCTCATCATCCATCAAGCAAAGGCTGAGGGCTGCTCCCGGGGCCCCTCAGCCTCCACCCAGACACCTCTGTCCACTTCGGACGCCACCTCCCTTTCTCCCACTGGGCTTTCAAATGGATGTTTCTTCCTTCGGAGCCAAGTCATGCATTCCTGACCGGTTCTGCGTCTTTGGGCCCTTGTTTTTTCATTCTTACAAGATGACGGATGCAGGGAATTTCAGAAATAGCGATACGCAAACACTAGAGAAATGGCACTCACGGTTCCCACTTGGATATCATGTTACAAATGGTGCCTGCTACTATTTTTAAAGGTTCCTCAGCTTAATGTGGTATTCTGGCTGCCCATTTGTTTGCCTATAGCCATGTGTAAGGCAGGCTGGTGCCGTGCTGTGGCGCCCTGACGAAGATTTGCAGAGATCTGTCTGCCTTCGTGTTACTTGAGACAGGTCAATATGGAGAGGCCGCAGCAAGGCTGGGCAATGTTGCAGAATAGCTGTCTTCACTACTGAATTTCTCTTTAGGAGCTACGCTGGTGTGGTGAGAAATACCACCCATAGACTTGGGTATTTAAACACTTGGTGCCAGTAGGCGGCGCTGTTTGGGAAGGTTATGGAAGGTTTAGGGGGTGCAGCCTTGCTAGAGGGTGGATGTACATCACTGGGGGTGGGCTTTGAGCGTTTATAGCCCCACCACACTTCCAGTTCCTTCTCTCTGCTTCCTGTGCATGGGAAAAGATGTGATCAGCCAGCTTCCTGTGTTTGCTTACCCTGCTGCCCCCACCGTTATGGACCCGCTCTCCGGAACTGTGAGCCAACAACTACCCTTTCTTCCTTCATGCTTTATTTAGGTCATGGTGTTTTACCACAGCAGCAGAAGAATAACTAATACAGGAACTCACTGGGAACGTGCAGTTCAGTGGCGTCCTCGAACAAACATCCAAATGTTTGCAAAACGTGCAGGCAACTAAATGCCTCCGAGTGCCCCGACGCATGCGCACACTGAGCTGGGGTGGGGTGCCCATGCGAGGTTAAGAGCCTCCTCTCAGTGCCTGGCAGTCGCTGTCCGACACGGCAGCTCCTTTCCTTAAGACAGAACTCAGAGTTGAGCGGAGGTGAAGTGAAAAGGGATGAAACAGAGCCAGCGTCCGCAGCCCTGATCCCACTTAAATATTAATGGAGACTTGGAGTAGGGCGGCGAGCGCGCCTCGGTGCCGGAGCCTCCATGCGAGGGGCAGCTTCAGGCTGGACACACGCTGCTCAATCTCCATTCGATCGTACGTGGTTGATCATCATGTTTCCGTGTCCTGGTGAGGGTGTGACAGATCAGTGTTGCACCACAGTGTCCGCAGAGGAGGGTGAGCCTGCCTGGACCTGGATTTCTCGCCAAGTCTCCTGAACTATTGAAACACAAAAGTAAGAGGACACGTTTTAAAGGACGCGTTGCATACCATCGTTTGTAGAATTAAACAAAGGGCAACTCGTAACTGCCTGTAACTCTAGCTCCAGGTCCAGGGGATCCAGCACCTTCTTGTGGCATCAGCAGGCACCAACACTCATATGCACATACCGCACACGCACACGCACACACACACACATACCCACTCACAGATACACACACACATACACCATTTAAAAAATAAAACAAAATTTTCAAGATTTAAAAGCTACACGGAGAAACCCTGTCTCGAAAAACCAAAAAAAAAAAGAGTGATTTATCTAACAGTAAGAATTGACATAAAAATGTTCTCAAAGCCAAGTGCCATGAGAAGGGCGGTTACAGGGAAGACCGTGGGCACCTCTAGCCCAGGCACTGTCCTGTCTGAGACACAATTTCTGTGCCAATAATGCAATGCAGAGCAGCTCAGAGAGGACAGTGAGATTTCCAGGACCCTGGGCGCCACTGTCTCCCCGTGGACTGGTGGACATCATGCCCCCCACACAGACTAACGAGGGGACTGTGTCAGTAGTCTGTGTGGGACCCGGCGCTCAGCAGCATACAACGGCATGGTGCGTTTTTGCTGGTCCCCTCGTTGCTTGTGGAGACTTTCTCCTCCCTACAGCACAGGGACCACCTGTAAGGGAGCTTTGCGAATCTCAGACCCCTGGCAGTGACTCCCCAGCCCGGCTCCCCCTTCTGTAGATGCCCTGTGCCGCGCTGTCCTGTTTCTCAGTCTTGACTTGAAATAAAGGCATCACCATTGGTTTCTATGGCTTTGCTCTATTCTGTCAGCCTAAAACTATTTCCCTCCGCTCTCCAAGCTTCACTTCTGCGAAACTTTACGTGATGGGTACTACTCTCACAGCAGGCATTACCACCTACGCTTCATCACTGGTGATTAGATTGTACTTCTCTTTGAGAGAGAAAGAGTTTGGCTTGCACATGACCTGTGCCTACATTTCTATTTCAACACCGTGTTACTTGCAGGGGTGAATGGAAGGATGTAAAATGTATCCATTCATCTAAGTCAATGTAATTCAAAATTGCACATATTACTCCGTTACGTTGTTTTGGAATTATTATTATTATTATTATTATTATTATTATTATTGAGACAAGGTTTCTCTGTGTAGTTTTGGTGCCTGTCCTGGAACTCACTCTGTAGACCAGGCTGGCCTCGAACTCACAGAGATCCACCTGGCTCTGCCTTCCGAGTGCTGGGGTTAAAGGCGTGCGCTGCCACCGTCGGCCCATTGCATTGTTTTTATCATCTAAGAAAACAATTGTGTAGAGTGTCAGGCATCTGAAGGTTTCATGTGTAAAGACTGATTGACACTAAGTCCACGGCATCAAGAAAATATAACATGGACAGTGCATCCTCCTTGTCAATTTTCCTTTTTTTAAAAAACCATGGACACCAGCAAAGGAGACAACCACCTGAGGTAGAGTTGGTGTTAATGGCTGCCCTGGCAGTATCCTCCAGGGTCTCAGATAAAAGACTGGATGATTCCTAGACAGACTTGAGCCAGCTCAGAAAAGGACTGGAGACCACAGTTAATAGTGTGTGAGTGTGTGTGAACTCACTTTTAGGGTGTGAGGCAGGGACCTGGATTTATACTTAGTCTTGAGTGCCTATCAAGTAAAGGGCTGCTGTGTAAGCCATTCCTGACTTCAAACTGAGCAATAGCCCTCCTGCCTCAGCCTCCCAAAATGCTGGGAGGCTGAATTTTCATCTACATGAAAAGTCAAATCATAGAAGAATTCTCACGAGGAAAGTAACATACTTAAAACCTGCCAAAATAACACAAAGGAACAGAGACCGGAGAGATAGCTCAATGGCTTAGAGCACTTGATGCTCTTGCAAAGGACCTGGGTTCAGTTCCAGCACCCACATGGCAGCTCACAACTGTCTGTAACTCCAGTTCCAGGGCGTGCACATGGTACACACACATGCATGCAAGATAAACACTCTACGTATAATATTTAAGAATAAAGAATTTTTTTTTAAAGTGGGGGGGAGGGTCTGTTGTGAGGAGAGTCCTCTGTCACAGCCGGCCGGTTGTGACTCTTTATTCTGAAGCTCTTCTCCCTCAGAGGCGTGAAGTGGCACTGTCCACTGAGCCAGGCAGGCCGGCACCCTGGTCCTTGTTTGTACCCCTACAGTGGCTGTGAGGGCTCTCCTCTGTGACTGACGGTCCCCGCTGGAGAGAGAGAGCACTCTGGCCCGGGAGGAAGCCGGGCTGTCTTGACGGCTCAGTCCATGGCTTTGGGAGTGGGAGCGATCCAGGAGAACACGTCTCACCATGGGATTCAGACTCCGCCCTGGAACCAACCCAGCAGCCTTCTGAGCTACTTACCCTAGTGGTCCCCGGAGACTTCTGGGAGCTGCATGCCGTAGACGAACTTTCTCCCGACTTGGCATGGCTCTGCGAAGAGATCATTTTAGACCTCAAACTTTGACCTAGTAAATAGAAGAATGATGTAAATACAGAAAAAAACGAAGAGGAAGGAACTCACAGAACAAGGGGCAAAGTGGTGGGATTTAAACCGCCTGTCTCCTGAGATCGGGTCATTTTTAAATTCCTTAGTAATTGATAGGGGAGAGGTTGGTTCTTATGTTTGGTGATGCTTTAATTTGTGACGCTCCATGGGTTAAGAACTGCTAGATGTTTGGTGCAGTTTTGAAATCCGCTATAATTACATTTGGCTGTGTACAGACAGTACTCAGTGCCTTGCATAACTACCCTGGGGGCATTAATTTACTGTGGCTCCTGTGACAAACGGCGTCAAACAACAGAGCCGTTCCTTTTAAGTTTGGGAGGTCAAACTTGACCCGCCTGATTGGGGTCCCTCTAAACGCCCTAAGCAAAAGCCCTTTCCTCGACTCTTTTGGCTCCGGTGACAGTCTGTTTCTGGACCCCTCGTGGCTTCTGCTCTGGCCTCTGCTTACACAGCTAGAGCATCCTCTGACTCCATCCCTCCCCACTTCCTTTCACAAGGTCAGGACCTTTGTGATCTCAGTCAGGACACACTCAGAATCATCCCGAGCAATCTCTCCCATTGCCAGTACCCTTAATCTTGGGAGAATGTTCTCTGCCACACCAAGTGGCATGTTCCCATGTTCTTGGGTGCAGGACCCTGGCGCATCTTTAAAGGACTGCAAAGCCTTGTGTTAAACCAGCTGCCTAGACTGAAATCGAACAGTGAAGAAAAGTGGGGTACAGCAGTGCGGGGGTTGTAAGGCCGCTGGGTCGGTGCTTGTACAGAATTCGGTGGTTTAGCACATGTACATGTGACAAAGAGAATATTCAAGTATTATGTGGGTCTTGAGAATTGAACTCAAGTCATCGGCTGAGTGGCAAGTACCTTTCCTTGCTGAGCCTTCTCCCTGGTCCCTCTTCGCGATTCTGTTGGTTTGATGCATTATCCACTGTTTCTGAGGACCCACTGCCCCCTGGGGCCTCCATAGGCACCAGGCAAACTACGGTTGCACCAGCTCCCTTCCTCTGGCTGTGCAATGCCTTTTCCTTGTATTTGGCACGTAACTGGTTGTTGGCCCTGGCCCAGAGCAATGGCATGAGCTCGCAGCTTCGAGCATCCATCCTAGGAAGGGCAATAATGTTCTCTGGCTTCCCTTTGTGACTCCCTGAGAACACAGGGTAGAAGGCCCCAAGAAGAGCGTTCTCGGTAGATGACTGCAGTCGGAGGCTGAGGGAGCAGGTACCACATTGCCACAGAGAAGTTCCTGTCCCGGGATGCTGGGTAACCGACGCTCGCTGACAATGCCTTAAGTGTGTGATGTCCCTGTGTTGAGGCAGGTGGGGAAACGCGGTGTCAAAGTTTGGCAGTCCTGGGTATTAGGCTGGGGACTTTAGAACAGGCACCCGGTGACCTTGGAGGCTGGAAATTGGAAGTCGCTTCATGATGGTGGGCACGGAAGCCCTCCGCAGCTCTGTGGATGCCGCTGGAGTGACTTCTCACTGGAGGGGCTTGTACCTGGCTGTAAGCACTGGCCTTTCTCCATCTTTAACCTCGGTGGCGAGAGCCAGGCTCCCCAGGGCTTCTCTCAGTGGGTGGTGGGAAAACCACCCCATGTCATAGGGTCCCCAACATATAGTGGAGATTTGTTGGGGCCTAATTAAAACTCATATTCATTAAGCATTTACTAATGTGATAGATATAGATATTAGCTCTTTAGGTAAGTGAAAGCTTTTTAATACTCAGAACTGTGTTAGACTGATCCCATTATTTTAAAGAATAAATGGGCACAGCGCGATGAAGTAACTTGCCCAGGGCAACAGAGCTAATTAAAACCGTCACAAAACCCACAGCTTGAGGCTAAAGCCTACACATTGCCAGCCATTGGCCTACCAAAGGGCACAAATGTTCATGCGTGAACATATTTTTTAAAGAAAATTCCTCTGGGTTGGAGAGATAGCAAATTTGGTTCCCAACACCTACACAGCAGCTCACAACCATCGGTTACTCCAGTTCCAAGAGTTCCCTGCACCCTCTTCTGACCTCTTCAGGTATCATGCACACACCTGGTGCACACACATACATGCAGGCCAAGACTCATAGACAGAAAATACATCTTTAAACACAATTCTTATAATAATCATAAAAGTGTCTGAGGGCGTTGCATGTGTGAGTACACTTGATTGTCAGGAAAGCTCTGATGTATGTTAGGTTAGTCCAACACACACACAGATGATAACAGGTTTGTAACTGTGGCTCACTGGGCAGCTAACCAAAGAACTGAGAGCTTGACTTCGCCCTGTGACTGAGACCAGAGAAAGACGAAAACAGCACCCACATTACACGCTGAAGTGATGGAACTTACCAGTTTCTACAGGGAACTCTGTCACACCAGGTACATACAGAGATGTGAATCCGAGAAAGATAGTCTCTCCCCTGTCCTCATGGGTCTAGCAGCTGAGATGGCTGCCTTCGACATGACCCTCTGTAAGCACAGATGAGCTTCGAGACTCAAGAGATGCCACTGTGAGAAGGCCAGGGCTCTGCTCTCTTCGGGTGTGTTTTCTGAAAACACAAGAAAGTGCCACCTACCCACAGCCTCTTTCATGAGAATTTCCCGGGTGACCTGTGCCAAATAAAAGTCCGAGGATGATGGAAGGTGGAGAGTACTGGACGTGAGGAAAGAGGTAACCTGTGTACAGAAATCAGGGAGTGGAGATTTGAGAGGCAGAGAGGACCACATCGGGACTTCCGGGGCACAGGAGGGGCAGTGAGATAAGAATGTGAGACAGATTTGAAATGGGCAATGGTGATAAATCGGTCCAAAGCTTTTATCAAAGAGAGTAAGACCTTACTGAATACAGAAGTGTAAAAGCCAGTGTATCTGGGAGAGTGTGCAGTCCTGTGCCTGGGAATCAACATTTTCACTTAGGAAAGCCTCATCCTTCGTTCCACTTTATAAAGAATCAGCTTTGGTGAGGTTCGGCTGGGTTTTTAAGCTATGATGATGGAACGTGTGATCTGTGGACCAGCATGGTGTTTACTGAAGAAAGGTGATGAGTCTCTTTCCCAATGCCACCAGCAGAGGGTCACACGTGTCGTGGTTTAAGGATGGAGATGATCCAGGCTGCAGAGAGGGCTCAGCAGTTAAGAGTGGGTACTGTTTTTCCAGAGGACCTGAGTGTGGTTCCCAGTACCCACACTGGACAGCTTACAACTAACTGCCTGTGGTTCCAGCTCCAGGGGATCCAGCACCCTCTTCTGGACTGCTCGGGCATCTGCACTCACATGCACATACACCTAACTATTACACATGCACAGACATAATTAAAAATGAAAATTATCTTACAGTTCGGTATATAAGAAGTTCACTATCTACCGAGAGGGGCTGACAGGTCCATTTCAGTGTCTTAGAGCTTCCAGAGGCTGCTCACGGTCCTTGGCTTGTGCCCTTCCCACCATCTTCAAAGCCAAACAAGTGTTTCTTATGCTGTCCGCTCTCTGGTCCTGTCTTCGTCCATCATTGCTAACTCCTTCCTCTGTTGATGTTTGTATCCTAGAAGTCTCTGAGACTGTGTCACCACAAAAGACAGGAGTCATGAGGACGGGTGGGGACGGGTGGCCGGCAGTGTCAAGACTTAGATGCACAGCAAGTGTGACAGTTCGAAAGGCAGAGAGAAGATGACACGTCAAAAAGTGTATCTGCTGAGTGTGAATTCTGTGGTAAAATAAAGTGGTTTGTGTACAAATTGTGCCTGTCACAGAAATGAAGTTTAAATGCTCCTGGAGAGCCCAGGGTGGTAACTGAGACACACCTGCAACCCGGCCCCTGGGAGGTGGGGACAAGAGAAGGAGTTCAAGGCCAACCTCGGCTACAGAGAAAGTGTGAGGTCTGTGTGAGCCAAAATAGAAAAATAAGTGAGAAAACAGTTTGATTCTTCCACATGGTTTTTATTATCTTGAGGAGGTAGGAGGTTGGTTGAGATGTCGCTATGAAGAGTTTGAACAGATATTACTAACAGATATTTATTAGCTGACACAGTGGTATTGCCAAAATGGTTTTTTAAAGATTTGGTGTGTTTGGGGGGTGATTTTTTAAAATGAACTAATTTATTAAAATTTGAGACAGGTGCTCACTAAGTAGCCCTTGACTGGCCTGGAATTCACTATGTAGACCAGCCAGACCTCAAACACACAGAGGTCCATCTGCCTCCACCTCCTAAGAGCTAAGATTCAAATCCTGGGCTACCACACCCAGTGAGGGGTGGTGCTTTTTGAGACAGCCTCTCACTAGGTAGCCCAGGCTAACCTCAAACTTGTCTTCCTGCCTCAACTTCCCAGGTCCTAGGATTACAAATGTATACCATTATACTGAGCTGAAATTCTGGATTCTATTGACTTCATAAAAATTATATTTACTTCCAACCTCAAGTGTAGGTCCAAGAGGACAGATTTTATTACATTTTTTCCAAATTCTTTTATATATTTTTTTTATTATTTATTTAAAAGCCCTGATTACATAGTATAAGAATTCATCTTTAGGGTTAAGTAAATAATACACACGTTCATTTAATGAGAATACTGCTAACCTTGAGCAAGAGGTCCTTGGAAGTCTCCATGTTCTGGATTGATTGAGCAGCCTTGGTCAATTTTGCTGTGTTCAGAGTTCCTGCTTTCTCCCCGCTGAAGCTCAACGGTGTACATGTCCTTTTTACCAACCTTCGTTCCACCCTTGCTTTTCCGCCTTCACCACATGTGGTCTCATACCTTTTTACCACGAACGATCCCTTCAGCTCAGTGGATAAGAGAAATCTAGGAAAGCGTCACCTGCGGAATAAATTGTTGGCCTAGTTATACACACCAGGTCTTTTGGAGAATTCCATAACTTTTCCAATCAAGCATGCTAGTAAAAGTTCACAAAGTACC